GTAGCTGTAAATTAAAAGAGAGACTTAAAAATTGTATTATTTTTTTAAAAAATCTAAATATAGTGTGAAGGGATGCATAGGTAAGTGAAAAACCATAAAATAATACAAGGAAGTAATTACTGTAAAAACCAGGTTCATCATCACTTTAGAAGGAATAGTGGATTCTGGTTGGGTCTGGGAGCATGGAAGACCTTGGGGAATGGATAGAAAGTTTTTTTGAGCTGGGTCATGGCTACAAGGACATTTGCTTCATAATCAGTCACCAAGATTTCTATTTACTTTGTGCAGTTTTATAATAAAACAGTTTAAAGTTGATTTAGGTTGGGCTGAAGATGTGTTTTAGTAGGAGAGGGGTTGTCTAGCATGCTTGAGATCTTGGGTTTGATCCCCAGCACCACAAAAAAATAAATAAAAAATATAAGGTATCATTTTTCTAGCATTTCTTATGTACATTTACTTTTATCTACACATTTTAAGTCAGTATTTGCTGTGTAGCCAAAAAGGAGACTTATAAGAAGGGTAGGGGGAGACATGGACAGGAGTAGCTGTAAATTAAAAAAGAAGGTTCACCTGTCCACTGGGAAATTTTCAGTGTGATCCCTTAGGTTAAAGTTGGCTGCAGGGTTTATAAACAGCAAGCTATCAAAGGATTGCTGAAGTTTCTTTTTTAAGAATTCCAGGTATGCCTCACTGTGTAACAGGAGTAGTCCTGAAAGATTAAGTGCAGCCTCGATTTTTATAAATAGACCCAGTAAATGCTCTACTCTATCATTTCAGGACACTATTCCTCAAGGCAAATCTAAGACCATGTCTTAAAACAAAGTGTGTAACTGATGTGATTCTGCAATCTGTATATGGGGTAAAAATGGGAGCTCATAACCCAATTGAATCAAAATGTGAAATATGATATATCAAGAACTATGTAATGTTTTGAACAGCCAACAATAAAAAATTAAAAAAAAAAGTGATACCTGAAATACATTTTAAGCACAAGAAAAAAGAATCATTTTCTACTCAGACATCAACAGTAACACATTAGCTTGAATCAATCACTGCGAGCAGAGAAGCAAACTGAAACCTGGGGGCTGCTAACAAGATTTGCAGAGTAAATCCTCATCTCCTGGGTATGTGTTTAGGGCTCCCCTAAGAGAGTGGCTTTTAATAGTCTACTTGGTTCAGTTCTTCAAGACCATCTTTTTCTACTTCCTGGCTTATTTCTTGTTAAATGCTATCAGCAGGGAGGAGTAGGAGATAAAACTTTATTTTTGAGGTTCTTTTCCCACTTTCCTGGTTTATGGTTTCCTTCCTTTCTTCTTTTCTGAATGGCAGTATTATTCAGGGAGAAGAGATCAAAAATGATCAAATGAACTCAGAACCTGAGTGTTTTCTTCAAATTTTCAAATTTATGTATGGATGTCTCTTCATTGTTATTTCCCATTCCCAGAAATGTATAATTCTCATGAAACTTCATTCCTTTAGAGTAGTATTGTCCAGTAGAACTTTTTGTGATGACTGAAGCGTTCTATGTCTTGCATTGTCAGTAGTCACAAGCCACAGGTGGCCATGGAACACTTGAAATTTACTAGGAACCTGAGGAATTGAATTGTTAAGTTTAATTAATTTCCCATTAATTTAAATAGCCATATGTGGCTTAGGGACAGCACAGTTTTAAAGAGAGATAAGAGTAGAACTATGTGTATGGAAGCTTATTAAGGAGCCATAGGGGAGATCAGGTTCCTTTTCCCTAACATCTGTTAACAGTAATGCTATCTTCAGCTTAAAATTTTTCACTCTTTATCATGGTGTTATAGTATCTAAAATTCAAGCTGGGTGTGATAGTACATGCCAGTAATCCCAGTGACTCAGGAGACTGAGGCAGGAGGATTGCAAGTTTGAGACCAGCCTCAGAAATTTACTGAGTCCCTAAGCAACTTAGTGAGACCCTGTCTCAAAATTAAAAGGCTAGGGTGTAACTCAGTGGTAAAGCACCCCTGGGTTCAATCTCTAGTACCAAAAGCTAAAAACATCACCTTTGTTAATTTGCATAGTGAATGTCAGAATTGGATTGGATTTTTATTGGTAAGATGGATATCTTACTAATTAGCAAAATGAACATTAGAAGGTGCTCATTGGTGATATTAAAATATTCAAAAGGTGCTCTTTTTTATATATATTTTTTAGTTTTAGGTGGATACAGTATCTTTATTTTTTTTTAATGTGGTGCTGGGGATTGAACCCATTGCCTCACACAGGCTGGACCACTTGAACCACAACCCCAGCCCAAAAGGTTCTCATTTTTTAAATTAAAGTACTCAAAGGAAGTAAATTGGCTGAAATATTTTAGATTATCTTTTAAAAAATATATATGTATATATTTTATATACACATATATATACATATACATACATACATATATATATATATATGTATATATATATATATTTAGTTAGTTGTAAATGGACACAGTACCTTTATTTTATTTATTTTTATGTGGTGCTAAGGATTGAACCCAGTGCCTCACATATGCTAGGTAAGTTTCCACCACTGAGCCACAAACCCCGCCCTAGATTCTCTGTCTTTTGTTCCTCCTTCCATCTCTCTTTCTCTTTTGATTAAACCCAGGACCTTGCACTAGCTAAGGGCATACTCTACCACTTAGCTACACCCCAAGCCCCTACAGATACTTTCTACACTTGCATAAAGAGGGGCTGACAATCTAGGAAATCCTGTGAATTCCCTTAGAGATGTTGCCTGAGGCCTAATTCCTAAATGCTCCTTTGTCTCACCTTTGGTTAGAAGAATTTCTTGTTGCCTAATGTGAAACTAAGGGCAACAGAACTTTTTTCCAAGGATTGGCGGCACAGCTCAGTGGTAGAACATATGCCTAGCATGCTGAAGGCCCTGAGTTCAATCTCCCATACCACACCTGCCAAAGCAAAAAGCTTTTTTTCAAGATAACTGATAAAGAACCTTTGAGTTGGTCGGGAATGGTTGTGCACACCTGTAATCTCAGCAACTCTGGGAGCCTGAGGCAGGAGGATCATAAGTTCAAGCCTAGCCTGGGTAATTTAGGGAGACCTGTCTCAAAACAAATAAAAAAGGACTTTGGATGTAGCTCAGTGGTGGAATGCTTGCCTAGCATATGTGAGACCCTGAGTTTAATTCCCAATATCACGAGAGAGAGAGAGAGAGAGAGAGAGAGAGAGAGAGAGAGAGAGAGAGAGAGAAAAGAACCTATGAATTGTACATGACCAAAGCATAGGCATGATTTAGCTTGCACCCTATCTAGGCTCCTCTTGAACCCCTCCCCCCTTATACCTCAGATCATAACGGCTTTCTCTATTCTTCCAGTATGTTCCTTCACACATCAGGACCCATTTGATCGCTGGTAGTTCACCTGGCCTGAATACTCTTCTTCATTTTTAAAATCTCTTTTTGCCTCATAATAATAATTTTACATATATGTGTATGTGTTTGTGTATGTAAATTCTTCACATAATTTAAAGAATAATAAACACCTGTGTTTATACTACCCTACTTAAGAAATAGAGCATTTGTCATACTTTTGAAGCCCCTTAGATTCCTCTTCCACATTATAATCATTCTTTCTACCTCAGAGGTTATGACCATCATGATTTTTGTGCTGTTCTTAAGAGTTTACCACTATGTGGATCACTTAACAATATATTGATTTTTAAATTTTCTCACCAACATCTAATAATGAAACATTCCAAAGAGAACAAATATGAACCTTTATTATATCTACCTCCCAACATTGTACCATTAATAATTTAGTATGCTTGCTTTATCACATACTCACCTATTCATCAGTTAATGTTATGTTTGATGTATTTCAAAATTGAAGATATCATACATGTCCCCCTAAATAGTTCAACATAAGCGTCAACTAGAGTTCACTGTGTATTTATAAACTTTTTAAACTTGAAGTTAAATTTACATACCATGAAGTGCACAAATCTTAAATGTATGTTCACAGAGTTTTGACAAATGCATACCTTTATGTATCCCAGATTCCTATCAAGATATAGAAAGTTCCCTCAAGCCCCTTCCCAATCAGTTCCTACCCCTATACTTAAGGGGCAATTGTTGTGAAAAAAATTTTTGAGCTATATACTAGTTTTGCCTACTCTAGAACTTTATATAAATGAAATAAAATATGACACTTGGATAAAGTTTTTTTTCAGTCAGCTTGTTTCTGAGATGAACCTATGTTTTTGCATGCATTATTTTTTCTTGTTGGATGCTTTTTGTGTATATGTATATATACACTACATTTTATTTATTAATTTTCCTCCTAATGGAAACTTGGCCTATTTTCAATTTTTGTCTGTTATGAAAGAAGCTGCTATGAACATTTTTGTACAAATCTTTTTGTGGACTTAAGTTTTCATTTCTCCTGGGTAATACCTAGGAATACAACTGCTGGGACATTGAACAAGTATATATTTAGTTTTACTGGAAACTACTAGACTTTTTTTTTTTTTTCAAAATGTGTCATTTTATACCCCTACCAGCCAAATGTGAGTATAGTTGCAACCTTCACCAACACAAGGGAGTGTCAGTCTTTTCAATATTAGCTATTCTGCTGGGTGTATAGTGAAATCTTTTTATGAAGTTCTGCTTATTAATGTTTATTTTGAGAATTCAAACTTCTGTTTGACTAGTAAGATTTTTTTTTCTTCTTAAGGATTTTTTTTTCTTAACGTGGTGCTGGGGACAAACTCAGGGCCTTGTACATGCTAATTACATACTTTACCACCACTACAACCCTAGCCCCAAGATTTCTTTTTAGTTGTAGATGGACACAGTACCTTTATTTTATTTATATGTTTTTATGTGTTTCTGAGGATTATGAGGATGTGCCTCACACCTTCTAGGCAAGCCCTCTGCCACTGAGCTACAACCCCATCCCCCCAAAATATCTTTTTTTTTTTTTTTGAGAGAGAGAGAGAAAATTTTTAATATTTATTTTTTTTTAGTTTTCGGCGGACACAACATCTTTCTTTGTGAATGTGGTGCTGAGGATCGAACCCGGGCCACAGGCATGCCAGGCGAGTACGCTACCGCTTGAGCCACATCCCCAGCCCCCAAAATATCTTTAAAATAGAGAAAACACAGATGGAGATAGGTAGAAGAAAAATTGATAAATCAACACCGTAGAGTTTTAGCATATCCATTAAAGTAATTAGATTAAGTGCCAAAAATAAATAACTTATATAGACTATTTGAACATTACTTTTAACAAGCTTGATTTAATGAAGGTTAGAGGCAGAGAGCAGTCTTCCATACTAAGCCCTATAGAACTCTCTAATTTTTAAAATTAATTTTTAGCCAACCCTGTAACAGATGGTTTTATCTCCATTTTTTTTAAAGTTTTATTTTAAATTAATTTTAGACTTACAGAAACATTGCAAAAATAATTTCCTTATATCCCTCACCCCACTTCTTCTAATGTTAATGTTTTTTATAACTGAGTACAGTTATCAAGAACAAAAAATTAACACATAATATGATTAAGTAAACTATAGACCTTACTAGAATTTTGTATTTTTCTTTTCCTTTTTTCGATGTGGGGCTGGAGATTGAACGTAGGGTCATGCATTTGTTAGGTATGTGCTTTGCCACTATGCCCCCAGTAATAGAATTGTACACTTTTCTATTAAGGAAGTTTTTTTTCATTTCAGGATCATGTCCAGAATTTCACATTGTATTTAGTTGTTGTATCTCCTTGGTTTTCTCCAAGGAAGTTCCGCAGTTTTCTCATTCAGGACTTTTGAAGTTATTTTTGTTGAATGTATTTTAAATTGGATTCTTTTATTTTCTCATGATTAGGCTAAAATTATGCATTTTTGGCAGAAATGCATGTTATTCATGATGTTGCTCTTATTCTAACTCTAACCCTAATGGTATTTTATCTTCATCTCATGGTTAAGTTTGTGTCTACCAGCATTCTCTACTATATAATTTTTTTTTTAAGTCTTCTCTTTTGTAGTTAGTGTCTTGAGGAAGGTACTTTGAGATTATATAAGTCTGTTTCTCTTCAGATTTTCACTTTTGCATCCTTCAGTACATCATATCTGCAGTAATTACTACCCAGGGTTGATTCTGTTTCCCGCCTTATTTTTCCACTTATTACTTAGAATTCTAATTGAGGAAGAACTGTTATATCTTCTCCTTGATTTATTTATTTGATTATTTTTTATTAGTATGAACTCATAAATATGAATTTTATTTTGTGTGTTGAAATCCAATACACTGGCCAAGTGATTTTTGACAAGAGTACCAAGACCATTCAAGAAAAAAGAATAATCTCAGCTAGGTGTGATCACACACGCTTGTAATCCCATTGACTTGGGAGGCTGAGGCAGGACGATTGCAAGTTGGAGGCCAGCCTGGACAATTTAGCGAGAACCCTGTCTCAAAATAAACAATAAAAAGGGCTGGAGCTGGGTATGGTGGCACATGCCTGTAATCCCAGTGGCTCAGGAGACTGAGGCAGGAGAATCACAAGTTCAAAGCCAGCTTCAGCAACTTAGCAAGGTCTTAAAACTCAGTGAGACCCTGTCTCTAAATAAAATACAAAAAAGGGCTAGGAATGTCACTCAGTGGTTAAACACCACTGGGTTCAATCCTTGGTACAGAAAGGAGGGGGGGGGCTGGAGGTGTGGCTTAGTAGTAGAGTACCTCTGGATTCAATCCCCAGTACTGAAAAAGAACAGCACTTATCAACTGATCTATATTCCCAGCCCTGTCTTTATTTTTTAAAATTTAAATTTGTATTGTTTTTGAGAGTCTCTGTATTGCCCAGGCTGGCCTCAAAACTCAATTCTCCTGCGTCAGCCTCTGAATAGTTGAGATTTTGGGACAAATGATTTGGGGACAACTGAATAACTACATGAAAGAATGAAGTTGGATTCCTACCTCACTCCCCATGGTCAAAAATTAATTCAAAATGGATCTATAACTTAAACATAGAAGCTAAAACTGTTAGGAGAAAATGGGTAAATCTTCGTGACCTAGGTTTGGTGTAGTGCATTCTTAGATTTGCGTCAAATCAAAACAAGAGCAAGAAAAGAAAAAAAAAAGTTTAATTGAACTCCATGAAAATTTAAAATGTTTGAACTTTAGGGAACACCACTAAGAAAGAGAAAACCCAAATATTGTCAGATCATGTTTAATAAGGGATGAGTATCAGAGAATGTAAAGAACTTTTAAATTTAAACCACAAAGGACAACAAAATTTAAAAATGGTCAAGGGGCGGGGCTTGTAGCACAGTGGTAAAGCACTTGCAGGTCGTGCACTAGGATCATGCATCAGTTTGATTATCTTCACTGAAAAGAAAGAAAGTCAAAAGGGCCCAAATAGAGATTTTTCCAAAGAAGATTATATAGATGGTCAATAAGCATATGAAACTGGGGATATAGCTTAGTGGTAGATCACTTGCTTAGTATGCACAAAGTCCTGGGTTTGATCCCCAGCACCGAAAAAAAAAAGTATATGAAAATATGCTCAACATCATTGGTTATTAAGGATGTGTGAATCCAATCCACAATGGGATACCAGTAGGATAACAGTAGTAATAACAACACAAAGAACAATAGAACTCTCTTACATTGCTGGTGAGAATGTAAAATGGTATAGCCACAGTAGAAAACAGTTTGGCAGTTACTTGAAGAGTTAAGCATAAAATTACTGTTATGGCTCAGTAATTCCACTCCTATACACCCAACAGAACTGAAAGGTACATAAACAAACACCTGTTAAAATGGTCATAGCAGTACTATTTACAGTAGCCAAGAGGTGGAAACAACCCAAATGATCATCAACTGATAAGTGGAGAAACAAATTGTAGTATATCCTTATAATGGAATATTACTCAACCACCAAAAGGAATTAAGTACAGATAATATGCTACAACTTGAACGAGCCTCAAAAACATTAGGTGCAAAAAGCCAGACACTAAAGGTTACGTATTATGTGATTCCTTTTGTGTGAAATACCCAGAATAGGCATATCCATAGAGAAAGAAAACAAATCAGTGGCTGCCAGAGAGTTGGAGATGGAGGAATATCGGATAATTAACGGACACTGGATATTCTTTCTTGAGTGATGAAAAGATATGAAGCTAGAGAGAGATGGTACTTGTACAACATTGTGAATGTACTAAATGTAAATGAATTATATATTTTAATTTGGTTGAATATATGTTATGTGAATTTGACTCAAAAAAATATATATCTGATACTATCATTAGCTTGTTACTCAAATTTTTTCCAGATTTGACCATTAGGTGCTTCTTCAAGTATTCTTTTTTTTTTTTTTTTAAGTTATAGATGGGCACAATACTTTATTTATTTATGCGGTGCTGAGGATCAAAGCCAGTGCCTAACGCATGCGAGACAAGCGCTCTATCACTGAGCCACAACCCCAGCCCTCAAGTGTTCTTTTAACAAGCCTCCATCTATTTTTTGTTTGTTTGTTAAGTTTTATTATTATTGTTGTGCTAGGGAAACCAAGGTCTCAGACATGCCAGGCAAGCACCCTACCACTGAGCCATACTCCAACCCTTACATGGTTATTTAGATTCTTGTCTTGTTAGCTAATAGTCTTTTGAACCAGTTATGCCATACTTTTCTGTGGTTTTTTTTTTTTTGGGAGGGGGTGCTAGGGATTGAACCCAGGGCCTTGTGCATGCTAGGGAAGCACTTATCAACTGATCTATATTCCCAGCCCTTTCTGTATTTTTTAAAATTTAAATTTGTATTGTTTTTGAGAATCTCTATATTGCCCAGGCTGGCCTCAAAACTCAATTCTCCTGCGTCAGCCTCTGAATAGTTGAGATTATGGGCATGCGCCACTGCGTCAGGTATGCTGCTACCATATCCAGCTCTCCCCCATCTAGTTTTAAGTGTTTCATTTCTGGTATCACAAAATGTTCTAGGTTCATTTGTATTTTCTCATTTTCTCTGTCTCAGCTCTGAAATGATTTACTTCTCCAAAGATTCCTGGTTTCTTTTATTGGAGAATGCTGTTGAGAAATCAAGGTCTAGAGTCAGTCACAGTGTTATATACCTGTAACCCCAGCAACTTGAGAGACTGAGACAGAAGGATCACAAGTTTGAGACCAACTTAGACAATTTAGGGAGACCCTGTCTCAAAAAGATAAAAAGGTCTGGGGATGTAACAGTGATAGAGCCCTCCTGGAGGCGGGGTATTGCATGCCACCCCCCAAAAAAAATGAAAGAAAAAAAGAAAGAGAAGGAAAATTTTAAAAAAGGAAACCAAGATATGGGCATTGGTGTGCTTATTATTACTAGAATATCATTGTGCTTGGGCTCACTTAGCAGACTGAGCTGTGAAGTATCTGTATGTATACCACCCAACCTTTATGTTTTTTTATATTCCTGCTTATACTTTAAAGTCCAACACCACAAGGCTTACTTCAGTCTCTCCCTTTTCCTCATTTAAACCTTATATCTCTACGGTTGAGAAACCCAACTTTTGTTACCTTCAGTTTGCTTATTTGTTTAATTCTGGTATGCCCATAGTTTCAGAATGTGAAAAATATCCCTGTAAGAAATACATTTACTCGGGCAGCAGTTGTAGCTCAGTGGTAGTGCACTTGCCTTGCATATATGAGACGCTGGGTTTGATCCTCAGCACCGTTAAAAAATAAATAAATAAATAAAATAAAGGTATTGTGTTCATCTACAACTAAAAAGAAAATTTAAAAAATACATTTACTGACTTGATTATAACACTTATAGATATTTCTTTTTAGCCTTAGAATATTTTGTCAGATTGATGTTTCATAGTTAAATGGGGCTAATTCAGTTTTTCATCCATGTGGTGTTTTTCATGTGGGGCTTCAGCATTTGCTGAGTCTGGCTTTGAACTTGCAATCCTCCTACTTCAGCTTCCCAAGCCGATGGGATTACAGACTTTTGCCACTACACCCAGCAACTGCAGAATATTTTTATCATCAAAAAGAAGCCCAGTACTGATCAGCTGTCACTCTCTATTTTCTCACAACACCCACTCCCCTATCCC